TACGATTTTAATTTTTTAAATTTTAAAATATTTTATAAAAATAAATTCAAACTCTATTTTATAAAAATATTTTTAAATATTTTAATTTTTTTGTTATGTATTTGGTTATGATTTGAGTGTAGAGTTATGAAAGTAGTATGGAGTTTCGAGTTATGTGTTTGGTTATGAGTTTTAAAAATAATTTTTACGATTTAAATTATTTAAATTTTTTGAATATTTAAATTATTTAAATTTTTTAGATTTAAATTTTTTGAATATTTATTTTAATTTTTTACTTATTAAATTTTTTAGATTATTTAAATTATTTAAATATTTTATGATTTAAATTTTTTGAATATTTATTTTCAAAAAAAATTATTTCCTTTGTAGTATTTTCAATTAAAAAATTGATTAATGTTATTTTCTGTTAATAATAAACTTTTTTAATTGAATTTTAAAAAGTGTTTGGTTATGAGTGTTGATCTGAATTTTTAATAGTATGAAAGTAGTGTGTTTTGTTATTAGTTATAACAATTTGAATTAAGTTTTGAAAACTCTTTCCAAAACTCATAACTAAATAAATTTTTTTACTTCACATGTCAAATCAAACTTTCAAAACTCAATTCCTAATTCAAAACTCAATTCAACCCTCTATTCAAAAATCATAACTAAACAAATTTTCTACACTCAAATCATAATTTCACAACTCACAAACTTAAAATACAACTCATATTCTCAAATCATATTTACAAAATTCTACCAAATGCAACCGAAGTTTTCTGCTATCATTAATCATGCATGAGATGGACAATGGCATTAGGTAGGGTAGGTAGACTTGGATATTTTAAATGTAACCATAATAATAATAAAAAATAAATTAAAAACAAAACAAAACAAAAAAACAACGTAAAACCCTTACTGTCCCTTATATTATCAACAAGAGCAAAAGAGAATCACGAAGATAAAGATAAACCATTTCTTAATATATGAACTTTTTATGTATTTGTTTTTATTATGTAATACCATTCTTCCGTATGGAGTCCCCATGTACAAGTACAATCTAAGCCTCAAGACAAAAGCAGCCAACAAACCACACCAGAGCAAGTGCCACAACTTGCTTCAGCTTTGCCCAGTTTGAAGTGAACATTGAGAGACAAATTTTATTTTATTATTATTTTTTTTTTGATAGGGACATTGCAGGCCAATGTGGATTGGATGATATTATAAAATAAAAATAAAAATAAAAAATATTTAAAATTTCTAAAATATTGCGTTTAAATTTATCTATAATAATATAGATTATTTTATGTCAGTTCAACCCCTACTACGTTAATGTGTATAAATTTAAAATTTCTAATGTTTCTCAATTATTTAATTTACATTCCCTTCTTTAATGACTCAAATTCTCCTATTTTATTCCTACTTTTTGTTAGGCATGTGTTTTTGCATTTACAAAGAGAAAAAGACTTCTCAACTGCACAAAGACAAACACTTTCCCTAGAAGGTTAGCAAGAAACACTTAAACACACCAACTTGTAAAGACCTATAAATTCCTTGCATCTATACACCCTCCTTGTTGGCCACAGCTTGTAGTTGAGGATCATCTCTTCTCTATTTTGAATTTCTTCTCTTTCATACAATTAAATCCCTGTCATATTATGTGGTAAAAAAATAATAATCTCATATTAGTCCATTCACTTTCAATTATGATAGTTAATTCTTTACACTTCAAGTGAAATTGTAATGTCACCTTTCTATTAATTTACCGTTAATGAGATTAATAAAAATTAAAAGTGAAAGGATCAAAAAGAGATGAAAAAAATGTCACATTTAGAGCGTCCTTAACTGATGAGATGAAAAAAATAACACATTTAGGGCCTCCTTAACTATGATATGAAAAAAATGTCACATTTAACTGACTCGACAAGTTTTGACGAAAAGTTAACATTTCAACTTGATTTAAAGTGTAAAGAATTGTCTGTCACAATTAAAAATAAAAAAATCAAAATAAACTGTAATAATACAAAGTGTAATTTTTATCCAAAGATAATTTATCACATAGGACAAGAGAAAGATTGAAGAAAAGATTCATAATAACCCAATGGTTAGCACAAAGTCAACTAAAGTTGTTGGAGAAGTTTAATTTTGAACTATTTAATATTGACTTCTAAAGAAAAAAACATCCAACAAATTATGCAATATGTGATTTTGTGGCTGGCATGGAAAGCAACTCAATGTGTCACTCTCATATCAACAATTCTTACAGATATAGAACTAAGCTTACAAAAAATAATAGTCATGCTAATCAGGGAGTTGGAAATTAGCTTAAACTTTAGTTTATTAATTAAAAATAAGTTTATATAAAAGGTAATGTTAAAAAAAGTCAATTTGTTTAGTATATTTCTAGTCTCTTTTGACTTTTCAAAGTGAGTAAAGTGAACTTTTTAATAGGAAATGAATTTGTTAAATTAGTCATAGAAAAAATTAATAAAAATATTTTTTTTAGCCAATAATCAGTTTTTAAGCGACACCAAAACAAAACCATAATCATATTCAGCTTGTTTGATTTCTATTTTCAAGATTCACTTTTTAAAAAATTAATTTTTTTAATTTTTTGTATTTTTTTGTTTTCATTGAATTTTTTTTTTAATATTCTAAGCATTTTTTAGTATATATTTTTAAATATACCTAACATAAATAAATTTAAAAAGTATAATATTTGTAAAAAAATCTTTAAAAAATTCACTAAATATTAAAAATACCCACAAAAAAAAAACGAAATTTCAATATTTTTTTTTTATCAGATCATTTACATCATTCACATCATGTTGATGTAAAAATGGGACTAAATAGAGCATAAGAAAACTTTTAGGACTAAATGGTTCAACGTTTCAAAAACTAGGACTTATGGGTAAATTTTCCTAACATTTTAAAAATATTCACTAAAAATATAAAACTTAATTTTCAGAAAACTGAATTTAAAAAATTAAAACTAAACACACTAATTGCTCACTTCTATTTTTTTTTATGATTGTCTATGTGGTTATAAACTTCTAACATATATAAATAAGGATTTGGATTCCCTCTAATCCACAAAGTGTATTGAAGGTGTTATTGGGCCCTATGGCGCCATCGCCAGCCATACTTGGACTATTTAAATTGTTCATTTTGTTCAATTATGCCTATAGATTATATATATATATATATATATAAATCAGATTAATCCAATAAACATATCCATATGTTTTGATGATATTTGCCTGCAAAAATAAATAGACGATAAAAATAATTTTTAAAATAGACCATCCTTTTTTCTTTGTAGACAAATTTGTTGAATTCATAGATTATGATTATCGTATCAATCTAATTATTTTATTTTATTTTATTTTGTTTTATGAATAATTTACACATATTATCAAATAAAATAAATAGTTAAAATCCTCAAAATGAGATTCACTGAATCTCAGGAGACTAATATCACGAGTGGGAAGTCAATTCTTATAAACAAAGCAAGCTAGCTGTTCCAGCCTCTTCTTGAGCATGACCGCCTGTTTCAATCAATGTCCTTTTCATTGTTAAGTCATGTGTCCATGCATGTGATTTAGGTTGCATGTATCTGTTATTATTATTATTTGTAATGGTTCATTTTTTATTTATTTATTTTTCTTTGTGTTATTATCTTCATGCTCACGGAATGTATGAGGTTGATGACTATAAGATAGACTTCATAATCACATATCATGTTTTGAAAATATAATTAAACTACTTTTAAGTTGAATTTGATCATTACAAATCACGCTAGAAGAGACCATTCCAGCATTCAATGGGTCATAATTTAAATACTAATAATAAAAAAACAACAACAATGACATGGGGTTAACATTTTTAAGATTGTTAATTTTGCGATTATCAACTATTTTAAATTGTGTATTTTTGGATTGATTCAAAATTATGAAGAATTGAAAAATTCTTATCAATTTTGTAATTTAATCAATCAAACCGAATCTCTTCTTAATTTCTCATTTTGCATCTAAACCCGCTCTTTGAGATTTAATAGTCCCCAATGAATTATTAGTCATAACCTCAACTTACTTAACCAATTGTGAAGTTATATATTTTATTGAATTATTAATCTAATTTGATGGCTGTCCATTCAAAAATACATACATTTAGATTTGGAATATGTAAAAGAAAAAAAAATTGCAAAATGACTCCGGCAATATTCTTGCAGGCTAACAATGGATTATTTCACATCTATTTAATTGAAAGAAGACTTTTTCGGGGACAGCTACAATTGACATTTGTAAGGGAGTTTCATTAAATTAGGGATAAACAAGAAGATTTCAAAATGAACTTCCCATCTTTGATTTAAAAAAATTTCTCCTTCAAATCGAGGCCCAATAGCACTTTGGTAAAGCCTTTGAATTCATGACCTCAACAACCAAGATACATACACGTCAATGTCTCCGGAATTATTCTGGTGTGCATTCTTAAAAGTGACATACATTATGCACCTTACTACAACATTTCATAACAAACATAACATATCGTTGATTTTCACACCAAACTTGTTTGTAATTTTTCATCACAAATGGATTCGTAACATTTACACAACATTCATAAGATAACCGCAATAGTTCAAAACTTTCACACTAGGGGTATGCACCATTGATTCGCCTGTTCATAACTTTTACTGTACAATGGCATAACATTTTGCCCATATTAGGGCGGTTGCACACTATAGGTTTCTCCTATAATCAAAATGATATTGTCAGCTTAAACTCAAATTTCTGGACTTTTAAGTTCAGAGGAAGGCTCAAGTCACCCAACTAACTGCAGCTAAACGGTCAGGGGAACGTCTTATAGCCACACCTTAGGGTGTGGTGAGGGGAAGGTCACGGGTTCGAGCTGATGAAAAGTAATTAATTACACTCAAATTCTATTCTAGATTGCAAATTTTTTTATCAGCACATACAGAGTCCTGATTCTTTAGCACTCACTACTCCAAACAAGGTGCAATGTAAACTATTGAAAAAGACGAGCACAATATTCATTTACTTCAATAGTACTTTATTACTCCCGCTACCAAGTTATCTTGGTGTATAATAATTACGATCCAATCAATTAACATAACATGAAAATATCAAATATCAGCAATCATTTCTTATCCATAGCCTACACCAAAAACTCGCCTGCAAGATCAATTAGAATCCGGTGCTTGCATTATGATAGCAAAATAGCATCCCAAAATCCCAAGCTTCCGGCATCCACAATAAGTGAATTGTCCACTACACCAATCTACATCAACAGAAGTCAGCCGGCTTGCCGATTTTAATGTTCTGCTCACCTAGATAACCTGTAATAGCGTTTTTTTGCCAGCTCTTGAAACTCCTGCAACCAAACATCAGTGTGATGTACTTATGCATGAAGAATTAACATTCTGCCAACCAAAAATCAGACAACCTAACTAATTACCAGTTTGGCATGAGCTAAAAAAGCTGCTTTCTGGATAAAAAAGTCAAAAAGCAAAAGACTGTTCGTTTTGAGCTAAAAAAGCCAAACTTTCCCACTAACAAATAGACAACTTTTTGGCAAGTACAAATGCAACTAAAAAAAGCAATAATTAGATTAGCACTTCGAGTAATGTAAAACTAGAAATTTTATAACTTAAGTCCTCTGCAGTAATAGTTAAACTAGCATATGCCATATTTTGGTGATGAAATGTTAAACAAAATTAAAGTTCAGCTAAAAAAAATTTACTTCTGATCAAGATGTGCCATAATATCCCCACCAGGGAATGCTTCTTTTGTGGCCTCGAATGCAACTTTTATGGATTGTCTCCACGTCCCACCAATAGCATTTATTTCCCCTTTTGGCTGGGTTGGATCTTCCATTGGCAAAGAATATCCAGAAAGAAGATGACCCACCCAAACACCATCTTTCCTACAAGCATGAAAACAAGAAATGGTTTATTATCACATTACACAAAACCGTCCTACATTCTATTGAAATTTTACTTGCGCTCAATTTTTTTTTTAGGTACAACGGAAAGTATTACTTGTGCTCATTTGAACATTCCAATACAAACAAATAAATAAAATCACTACCAAATATTTTGAATATAAATCCAACGGTAAAGATGATGATAATCCAAAGGTAAAAAGAAACAAACATTAGAAGGCACCAAACAAAATATTAGGAAATGGGATTAAAAAATAATCATTGGAAATGAAGAAGCTGGTAGAAGACAACAACTTACTGAACTATATCCATGTGCCGAGGTACATAATGTCCACCTCCTATACCCAGAAGAACTTTGTTCTTGTCATTATTGCTGGAACATCAAAAGTTCAAACAACAGTCAAAGAAACAGTATGAAGAGAGAGGTAATTTAAATTTCAGTATGAATATTAGTAAGACTAAACACAATTTCACAAGATGATAGAATGAAGAAAAATAAACAGTATAATTCACAAAACAAAAACAGAATACCATAACACCAGTAGGAATTGATACGATTCAAGAGTAGAAATAAATTTAGATAAAATATGTCAAGCAGGAAACAATCTTATTATATAGACTAATGAGTTTGGTTCAGTAGTAAGATGCAATATCTACTCTATGATCAAAATTGCTTGTTAAAAAGCCTAATGACAATAATCCTGCTTAAATCGACAGTACCTGCTCCAGTTTCCAACAGGAGTGCCTCCTCCAATCCCAAGTCCTTCCCAAATTAACTTCAAGCACCAAGAATACCAAATTGTTGGGTGGAAAGAAAGAAAGAAAGTGTTAGGTGGAAGAAGAAAGAAATAGGTGAAAAACCAAAAAGAGAGGAAAAAAAATGAATATCACTTCTAACTTGCCTACAATACTGATTACCAGCACACCTGATGATTGTAGTGGCAACTAACATTTCTAAACATTAGAAATTGATGATTAGGAATACACTAGTGTTAATGAGTTTGAGTGAAATTGTGCTAAATATACCATCAAAATATGCTAATATATCAAAATTTCTAGTGTCTCAATTTAGGAAACTCCCACAATTGTAAACACAAAGGCAAGCATCAAATCATGGGGAAACTAAATATATAGATCTATTGTGGTTATTGTATCCTGCAGATAGCTGCGTTTTAGTGCTGCACTGTATTACTCTAATTTTTCCCTTTTCCCCTTTTTCCCTTCCAAGAAAATTGGTATTATGAGAAAAGGCAAGTTACATCTAAGTATGCCAAAATATAATAATGGGAAGTCAGAATTAGTGCTGCAAACGAACCGAGCCGAGGTTTGCTAAGCTCGAGCTCGGCTCATTTACTTATCGAACTCATTTATTGAGCTTGAGCTCAGCTCGATAAAGAACTGGGCTCGATCTCGGCTCGGCTCGATAATTTTTTTTAATATTATTTAAATAAAAAATATTATATATATTTATATATTATTTAATATATAAATAATATATTTATTATATAATTTAAATAAAGATAAACAAGCCGAGCTTATGCGAGCTTGAACCCGGCTCGTTTACTAAACGAGCCTAATATTCGAGCTCGAGTTTGGCTTGTTTACTAAACGAACCAAACTGAGCTAAGCCGAGCCGAGCTTGTTTATGAACAGCTCGGTTCATTTGCAGCCCTAGTCAAAATCTGATAAGAAACTTAGATCATATAGGTTTGCCTAAACTAAATAAAAATTAAATAAGAACCAAACTGAGACACCAAGAAGCTGTTTAAACCAAAGCTCCAAATATTGAAGGAGATTAATGCCTACTCAACTAGAGAAATGACCTGGGCTGCATCCTGCCTCCTCCAGTGCTCTTCTGTGCTGCCTATGTGAAGAGAACAAACCAATTAGACATAACTACAACAGAAGTTGTCAATATTCACTACACAAACTCATATCGAATACAAATTTTATGGATGTTTTCCATTATGACAAGCAGACTACAACATGTAAACCTAAGTAGGCCTTTTAGGAAATAAATAAATAGTCATAAATTCATAATCCATAAAAATATAAAAGAGCTTCAAACTAAGATGTTCATCAACAAAATAAATAAATATCCAGCCTTGAAGCAGTTGGAAACATAGTTGTCAACATGGTAAACAGAAGCATGGTCCAAACATACTATGGGAAACAGGAATGCTAGGTGACATAAGATGATAAATTTACTAGGAACCTTTAAAATAGTGAAATAATAACAAAGTATTAGAATACTTTCATGATCAATTATGAGAAACATGTCCCTTGAGAGAATCCACAACAATTTTCGAGAGTTTTTGACAAGTTTCTTTAAATCATGCTAAAGTTTTTCAAACATCTTGGAAACGTTTCCCGGAATTTCCCTTAAAATTTCACAAGTTTCGTCTCCGTTGCCAAACAAGTTTCTAGGAAATGAGTTTCCCCTCTCAAAAAAGAGTTTCCTCATAACTATGTTTGAAACACATGCACCAGCAGAGGACAAGATGAGAGCAATCAGCAAAAGTGAGCATGTTTCCATGGCTAAATAATCTAAAGTGAGTATGTTTCCATGGTTAAGGGTCATGGAATAGAAATGAATATTGCGAGGATATATTTTCTGAGTACCAACACATGGCCAAGGTGACGCCGACGTGTCAACCGGGGTGCCACGTGTACTGGTCGTGACACCGAGGTGATCTCGACTAGGCCGAGGTTATCTCCGAAGATATCAGAGTCCGGGATAAGCGGATAAGGGACAAGAGTCCTAGAATGAGGAAAGACTTCAGCCTGGATAATGATAAAACTCTTAGGGAGTTTATCTTTATCTATTGGAGAGTCTAAGCTAAGCACTAAGCAAAAGTCCATTGAAGCTAGGCTTCTATTTGGACTAGGATTGTGTTGGCTATAAAAGAAAGGCACCCTCATAGGTCTAAGGTACATAATTTATATTCTGAACAGTGATTTTAGCACTTGATCTATCTTTGAGAGATAACTGACTTGATCATCGGAGTGCCCCCGGGTGGAGGAACCACCGCCGGAATCTCTTCTTTCTGTTGCAGGTTACCCAGGTGCCATCTATTCTGTCAGTGCTTTCCAGTTGAATACTGAGTTGGCGGTGTGGTCAGAAATTCACTCGCACAATTTGGCGCCGTCTGTGGGAAAGAAAGGAGAATAGATGGCTAACGACGAACAGAAAGAGAAGATTGGGGATAGTACTCCTACTGGAAGTGGGAGACCTGTCGACCTTGACGTCAAAGAAGACAATTGTAACGAAGAAACTCGTGACTAGAATCACGGAGGAAAGGACGTCGGCCAGGAAGGTGACGTACCAAAGAAAACAGCCCAAAGCGGGTACTACAACAAGGACGACCTCCAGGTATGAAAAGAAAGATGCCTGCGGGGGGATGATGAGGTAAAGACCATGGCGAACAAATTGGCAAACCTGTAAACAATAGTCAATTTCATGGTGCAAAATAACGTCATGCAGCCACCGTTCTCACTGTAGGACACGCCGATTCCAGCGGCCAATGCCCAGAAGGGAGGGCAGAAAACAATCCCTGTAGCCCCCTAGCACGCTAGAAGCGAAAAACACTCTCACCGGCTGTCAAGGAAGGTCGGGCCAGAAGAGTCGAGAAGAGAAGAATCTCGAAGGACACATCGCACCAAGGAGGCAGACCCCAGAGAACATCGGCATGTTCAAAGGCAGGAGTTGTGCTTCGATGCGACCAATGGAGAAAGATCGAAAAAGGGCTCACAACGAAGTTGAAAGTAGTACACCTAAAAGACTGAAATCAGGATATAGCCGAGCTCCTGGGTGGACCAAAGAGGACTTGAGAGATTACCTGAAGAGAAAGCAACAAAATGCTGAGGTAACGTCCCCTGTTAAGCCGAGAACACCATTCTTGGTGGAGTTAGACAAAGTTGAGGCCCCGAAACGATTCAGTATGCCGAGGTTCTAGATATACGATGGTAAGTCGAACCCTAACTTTCACGTCCGTTTATACCTGAACTCGATGGCACTGTACACTGGAAACGAACTGTTGCTGTGCAAGGTGTTCCCCTCATCCTTCGTGGAAATTGCATTAGATTGGTTTCACAAATTGCCAAAATGAAGTATGAAGATCTGGGAAGGCTTGGTCGAGATGTTCGTGGTTAGGTTCATGACAAATAAACTACAGCCATTAAGGGTAGACGCCTTGATGGCTCTGAGAATCAGTGAGGATGAAGGCCTTAGGGCCTACGCAAAAAGGTACTATGAGGTGTTCAACCGAATACCCGAGTGCAACCAAAAAGTAGCGGTCGTGTCTTTTAAGAACGGCCTGAAAGATGATTGTGCACTACGAAAGTCATTGGCAAAGACATTGCCAAAAAGTATGGAGGAGCATGGCCAGAATTGAGAAATATGCCAGAGCCGAGAAAGACACGCCAGGGATTAAGGCGACAAAGCAAGAGAAAGTAAATGGCTCGCCGAAGCGAGGCCGAGGTAACAACGGATCCAATAAACAAGAGATAGGGCTGAGAACTGCACAGGCAGTCACTGTATTCCAAATCCCAATTCACAAAGTCCTGGATAAAATCCGAACCCAACCCTACTTCAGAGCACCAACCAAGGTACAAGAGAGTTTATGGGAAGAAGCCTTGGAAAGCATTGTGCTTACTATAATGAAGATGGGCAGAGCCCTGAAGTCACACCTAGAAGACCTGGTAAGGCAAGGCCATTTGAGGGACCTTGTAGATGAGGCCAGGACAATGGAAGAGCAAGCAAGACTTCCTCAGGTACCAGCAGCTCCACCACCCCCAGCACAGCAGCCGCAGGCAGGCGGACCTCGGGTAGTTAATGTAATTCACTCGAAGGTCAACAGAAACGAAATACGGGGGGACACCCAGAAGGTAAAGCACTTGCAACATGTGTACCAGGTCCGACAGAAAAGACCTCGGGCCGAGGAGTGTCAGGGACCAGTAGTGTCCTTTACTGAAGCCGACCTGGAGATGGTACAACATCCGCACAACGATGCCTTGGTAGTATTCCTCCAAGTTGGGGAGTGCTAAGTGAAGCGCATCCTAATTGACCAAGGCAGCTCTTGTGACATCATGTATGTCAGATGTTACAAGGAGCTGGGCCTTCACCCAGACGATATGGAGCAATCCAATGGCCCAATGGTCGGATTCAATGGAACGCCGACGTGGTCACTGGGTGCAACAAGCTTGGAAGTGTTGGCTGGCACCAAGAAGATAAAGACAGAGTTCACCGTAATCGACATACCCTCCCCTTACAATGTTATCTTGGGAAGGCCATGGTTGCATGCAATGAGGGTTGTTCCCTCAACATTGCATCAGCTACTGCGGTTTCCAACAGAGCATGGGATAAAAGAGGTCAAAGGAGATCAGCTGCAGGCAAAGAACTGCTCCATGGCAGCAATGAAATCCACATGCAGCATACGAGAACCAAAAGGGGCGGAGATCGAAGACAAGGACATGGAAGTCCTAGAGGACGTCGGCAAGGAGCCCGTTAAGAAGAGTGAAGAAACCCTAAAGAAAATCCTCGTCCAGCAGGGGGATGAAGAACGCTATTTCCTTTTCGGCTCGGGCTTAGCCGAAGAAGAGGAAAAAGAACTGGAGGCATTTTTGAGAGCAAACATTGAAGTGTTTGCCTGGACGCCTTACGAGATGCTTGGCATCGACCCTGAGGTCACTTGCCATAAACTGAACGTAGACAGGTCGGCCAAACCTGTAATCCAACGGGCAAGAAGACCGACGTTGATGCATGTCGAGGCAGTGGAAGAGGAAGTAGACAGACTTCTGGAAGCCAGAGCCATTTGAGAGGTAAATTACCCGACATGGCTATCGAACACAGTGGTGGTGAAGAAAAAGAATGGTAAATGGAAGGTCTGCGTAGACTTTACCAGCCTAAACAAAGCCTGTCCCAAAGACAGTTTTCCTTCATCCAAGATTGACCAATTGGTGGATACCACTTCAGGACATGGAATGATGAGCTTCCTGGATGCCTACAGGGGTACCATCAGACAATTATGTACCCACCAGATGAGGAAAAGACTGCGTTTATCACCCCAAAAGAGCTGTATTGCTACAGAGTGATGCCTTTTGGGTTGAAAAATGCCGGAGCAACTTACCAGAGATTGGTAACCAAGATGTTCAAACATCTAATTGGCAGAATAATGGAAGTCTACATCGATGACATGGTCGTGAAGACCAAAGAACCTGAGGGTCATCTGGCCGACCTAAAAGCAGTCTTTGATATCCTTAAAACATATCGGCTCCGACTCAATGCATCAAAGTACACATTTGGAGTGGGATCCGGTAAGTTCTTGGAATACTTGGTGACCAAAAGAGGCATTGAGGCCAGCCTAGATCAGATCAAGGCCATCCTAGAACTAGAAAGCCTAACATCGGCAAAACAAGTACAGATGTTGATTGGAAGAGCTGCAGCCCTGAATAGGTTCATAAGCAGAAGTTCTGACAAATGCAAACCCTTCTTCAGCTTAGTGAAGAAGGCCACAGACTTCTTATGGACATAAGAATGCGAAGTCGCCCTGGCCGACTTGAAGAAGTATTTGACCACGGCTCCAGTTCTCTCAAATCCAGAATCTGGAGAGGAACTGTTCCTATACTTAGCAGTTTCAGAACATGCGGTAAGCGCAGTGATAATTCGAGGAGAAAAAGGGAAACAAAGGGCTGTTTACTATGTAAGCAAAACCCTGGCTGATGCAGAAACCAGGTATTTACCCCTGGAGAAGTTAACGCTGGCCTTAGTAATGGCTTCAAAGAAGCTGAACCATTACTTTCAAGCCCACAAAATTGTGGTGCTGACTGAACATCCTTTGAAGTTCCTGTTATAGCAGGGAGATC